TGGATTAGTATCTTACAGAAGGGCTGGCTACAACCGGCCCAGGTCTTTTTCCATCCCCACCCCCTCTTCTATCCCTTCCCAAGGACGCAGCAACAAGGCGCCATCTTAGAAGCAGGGAGTGGCCCTCATGAGACGTCAAACTTGCTGATGCTTTGATCTTAGACTTCTGCCTCCAGAACTATATAAAAATATGAATTTTTCTTTACAAACTACCCAGCGTATGGTGTTTTGTTATAGCAGCATGAACAAGCTAAAACATGAACCTAGCAAGTAGGAAAAACTCTTTGGGGAAGTTCTGCTGTAGAGAGATGCCCAAAAAATGGAGCATGAAGGAAATGCAGAGGCAAAGCTTGCTCAAGTTTTTATAAAGTCATGAGATATTTAAGCATTTCTGTACCATGAGGATTATTCAGAAAAGAAGAAATGTATGAAGATACAGGAAAAAGAGGGCACACATGTGGAAGTGATGTCTCTGAGAAGGTGAGAAGAGGAGGATCCAGCATACAAAAAAGGGCTGTTCTGAGAGGCCCTTTAACAACCAGCCTGTTTATTTAAAACACCCCAAATTCAGAGAGACAGTGTGCTTAAAATGTTTATTGCGGTGCTGGTATATATTCAGTTAAGAAACAAATTATTATTGGCTGCTGCTCTTCCATTCTCTTTTCCTTGATTACACAAATTACATGCCATGGGTGACTGCACAACAACTTGCACTTCTTCAAGCGTGCACAGAAAGCAAACTTTGTACTAGGGAAGGATGATGAATGTGCCTTAAGGGATTGCCACAGAAGGTTTTAGAAACTGATAACTTTAATAGTTATTCTCAAAAGAAAAGCACAGCAAAAAGTAGAAATGTAAAATAAACTTCTTGGTCCAATCCAGGTTCAAGGGCTGAGTAAAAGTTACAGTAGAATAACTGCTAATCATCCTTTCCTCATTTTGAACTGATCGAAAGCTCCAACTCTTACATAAATGCTACAAATATCCTAAAGTGCCTGTGATTTTCCTAAGCCTCGCTGGTTTAGAATTAATATCGCTAAAGCTCCATTCTCACCACATAGAGGACTGTCTCACAAAAAAAGCCCGTGTTCACCATCGACAAATACCCACAGCTTGAGATTAATAGTCAGGATTTAGGAGGGCAGGAACCTTCCATAAAAGCCACATGTGAAGGCCAAAGTGGATTTTTAATATTGGGGACAACAAGCATTAACTAATTTTTCCTACTGGAGTGCACTGTCCTTTAGTCTCTATTTTTGCTCCTAATTGTTCCTGCAGGTAGTAGGTTAACATGTAACGTACTTAGAGAAGGAAGCAATTGAACATGGCATAGATACTGAAAGAAAGGTCTCAATAAAAGAGCAGCATGTGCTCTAATCTGGCCTTTTACAACATCCACTATCAAAGAGCTTTGGGGGTTTAAGGGGATTAGATACCATAACCCATCTGTCAGGTCATTATGGAAGGAAACATTCCTGCTGTTTTCAAGGGAAGATGCCCTACTGTATATTATTATCATTAGGCATTTACAGAGTACTGCAGGCTTGCAAAGCACTTTGAAAGCATTCTTATTTGTTGTTCCTTATAAAATGCTGTCAACTCTAAGAATTATCTACAAACGAAGAAACTGAGGTTCAGGAAGATGGTGACAAATGTTTCAGTCACCCTGAAAGTGGCAGGAGCTATGAGGGGTACTTGGAGCCTTCAGAAGAGGGAATAATTTCCATTTGCTCCTACCTAAAAACGTGCCAAAGGTGTGTGCATGTGGGCACTTGTGTGTGTGTGTGTGTGTGTGTGTGTGTGTGTGTGTATGTGTGGCCCAAACCAATTCTCTTGGGTTTTCCTGAAATCTTATACACTATTCCATAATGAGCACTTATGAGTTATTTTCTGTAGACACAGGATATATCTTAACAGCAGTTGTATGTCATGATTGACACTGTTCCATATGGGAGGAGAAGCAGGATGCATTCAAGCATGAGCATGTGTAAAGATGGACTGACATATCGCAGCTATCATTTACAAAACTGGAGATCCCAAATCTAAAGCATAATGAGGCAAAAATGAAATACTACATGCCCATTCATCCGTGTTGCTTGTAATTTGCTAGAAATAATTTAGCATTCCAGTAAATTCTAAGCAAACGACTTAGTATACAGGGCAAAAAAATAAAGATGTCTACTGGAAAACAGCAAAGCTATCTCATATGGGCTCCCAGGAGAGGAGCTCTAATACTTCACAATAACATGGGTGCAGTTACCTGATATCATTCCTTTTGCTGAGATTCTCTCTTCTATTTAGAACAGAATTATGGGAGTTATTTTTGTGAGTCTTAGAATTGAGGGGATTATGGTTTTCCTTTGAAAGGGAATTAATCTCCATTAAAGTAAGGAACAAATAGCACTGATATATTTAGACACTAAAGGGAGAAATTGCCTCAATTGTGCCAAAAATTGTTTAAATATACTGATCAAATTGGATGACTTAATTAAATCGCTATGTTTTGTATCTTTTAATGTTGTATTTTAAAGAAAATGGAGAAAAACAATTTTTCATACTATTTTTAAACCATGAGTTGGTAAAAATGATTACTGATATTCACTTATTTATTCTCTACTGAGCATCATCTATATGCTAGACACGATCTCTTTCCCAAGGAGTTCACTGATAAAAGAGATAAGATATATTCACATATAAATATATTATAATGTATGGGGTTATGGTTCCATAGCAAATTATAGGTGAATTACCCTGGAGCTTGAGGGAAGGTCCAGTGCTTGAGAGGATTTTCATCTCATTCACAGAAGGGAGGGTCGGCTAAGAAAGAAGGGGGAATATGGGAAGCCTGTACAGGATAGATTTCAACCAAGGCACGTCTCCAAGGTTGTATAGGGATTGGGCAAACAGAGAAGGAGAAAATGAGGTATTCCAGGTAAAGGCACGGGGGCAAAAAAGGAGCTTTAACAGTAGCTGGTAGCAGTTCACCATCACTACATGCTTAAGCTAAGTCATGCGTAACTAGGTGTAAAAAGGAGGAGAGAAGGCGAAGGCAGACCAGTTAGTGCCATGGTTCCTAAATCTGGCTAATCCAAGAGATCCTGAATCCTGGAGATCCTGGTTTTAGTTTCATAGATTCAAAGCCCTTCTACCCTAGCCTTTGAGTCTATGTAGCTATAATTATCCAGCTACTTGCAATCCTCTCTCATTCCATTTTTCTCTTCATTTCCTACCCAGTGTCCTACCTCGGGTCCTTCTCTCTCACATGAGTGATTGCAGTAGCTTCCTGCTTTGCTTTCTCATTTCTGCTAGAATCATGTTTCTATAATAAAATATACGTATTTCCTCACTGCCCTACTTCAAAACCATTAGCGGCTCCATATTGCATCACAAAGGACACGGTATAGTAGGTGAGCCAAAACCTGTACAACACCTACCTTTCCCCCAGCACAGACGCACACGTACATGCATACTCCCTGAACACTTCCTAAAGCCCATTCAGCCTCCATTGGAATGCTTTGTGCTCCTCTTGTCGCCCAGCAGAAGTATTAATAACATTTAGCATTTCATTCCTGGGAATCCGTTCTAAAGAAATAATCTTAAAAATGTTAAAATATCTCTCTTTAGCCTTGTCTCTTGTGATTTCCCACCTCACTCTAGCTCCAGCTGTTAAGAAAGTTCTGGCAGTTCTCATTGCCTCTGGGCCCCTTTGCAAAGGGTGTTCCCTCTGCCTGATGGCTTTCTGCTGGTAGAGTTTTTCCTTCTTGCTTTTTATTTTTCTGTAATTCACCCTTAAAGGATCAGTTAAAACGTCCCTACTCTATTGAATCTTCTCCATTATGCTAAGCATTTAAAACCCTTCACCGGTTTTCCACCGCACCTTGAACACATCTCCACTATCACGCTAATCACATTGAATTACAATGGCCTAGAAGTCCATCTTTCTCTAAACCACAAGAGCCAAGAGAATAAGAAGCATTTCTTGTCTATCCACATGCTTTATCACTAACATTGAGCTCTCCAACATTTGTGAACAGTTAAACGAAAAATTATGAAAACCTCAACCAGGAGTGTTTGGAAAGCTATAGCAGAGGTGGAATTTATAGGGATTGTTAGATGTGTATGGAATAACTAAGAGAGGTATCAAAGGCAAAGTCAAACCCAGGTGATGGTGAGAATGATCTTGACAAAAGAAACAAGAAAACACAGGATGAGAAGGTGTTTAGCAAGAAGAACAGTAACAAATTCAGCCTGGGACTTGAAAAAAAAAAAAACAAGGCAAAAAAGACCTCCGAGTTCTACGTATGGAAAAACCACGGTCTGCTCTTGCATTCTCCCTCTGTCTCCTTCATCATCTCCCTCTGGCTTTCCTAGAATCAGAGGAATGGGGGAGGAGTGTCCAGAGAAAGAGACAAAATATTTCCATGTAAACAGTGCTCCTTATAGTTCTGCATTGACTATTCCTAGCCTCTTACATGCCATCTGCAGGTCCAAATGTTAACTTTTTTGCAGGGTCTATTTGCGTATTTCACAGCCCCATCAGCTCTCATGAGACATATAGATCAGCTCATTCATCCCTCCTATAGGCTAGGAAGTCTGGATATTTCCAGCTCTACCTATGATTCTTCTTCCTTCAGCCCTTTTGCTATTGAGATGCAGTGTGGGTAGCTATTAGTCACTGAATGACTACATTAAGAATCAATGGAAGTGTAACCAGTTTATTGAAAGGGCTGAACGTAATGAGTACAAAAGGAAGCAGCTGTATTTCCCTTCTACACTGTCTTTCAATATGTCACATTCCCCTTGCCTATACCTTAATGACATTTCAGGCAGCTCTCATAGCTTTCCAGTCATTTTAAACAACAACAACAACAAAAAGCATATTCATTTCAGTAATTATGAGTTACTTCTAGGTAGTAAAAGGCTCTGGTAAGTTTTAAGATTCTAATCGCATATTGCACTCAAAGCTTCTCTCCTCCCCCTAAGACAAGCTCAAGCCCCACCTGACTCCAAGCTCCTGCAGTGGAGAAGCTGGGCATAGTCTGTTCTTTCACTCTCTCTCTGTCTCCTTCACCATTGCCCTCTGGCTTTCCTCATCAGAGCAGAAGGGAAGGAGATTCTAGAGAAAGAGACAAAATATTTTCATTTAGACAGTGCTCCTCATATTTCTCTATTGACTATTCTTGGCCTCTTACGTGGCTTATGTAGGTCCAAATCTTAATTTTTTGCAGGGTCTGTTCGTAGGTACTTCACATACCCCTAACTCCCTGATGTGGGCACTCTCTGGCTCTGGCTAACTTCCTGTGATCCACATATTCTCTCTCTCTCTCTCTCTCTCTCTCTCACACACACACACACACACACACATGCACGTGTACACACACACACACACACACACACACACAGACACACACACACAGAGTCCCATCAAGGCGGCTGAGCCTGGTTACTTCCAACACTTGCTCCATGGAAACTACACACCCATGTGACATTACCTCATGGGTTTATCTAACTGCCGCCCCTTCTCCCAGCACAGGTGGCTCCATAAGCCCCAGAAAATTTTGATGAGTTTCCCAACACTCAATAATAAACAGCCTTTTCTTTGTCTCAGAAAGATCAGCCTTGTTAAAACAGAATGAAAAGAGAGAGAAAAGAAACAGGCAGTGCTCAGTTCTGAGTTTAAAGTAGATTTATGAAACTGATAGCAGAGATAAAAGTGTGAAAGCAAAAGCTTTTACTTGCAAGAACTAGGTTATTTTGCAAGAAGGAATTGTTTGTTTGTTTGTTTGTTTGTTTGTTTGTTTGTTTGTTTTCAAAAAGCATGATTTGGAGAATTAAGCAAGGAATAAAAAGGCAGAACACTGAAGGAGCTGAGGCATAAGGTTTATGCCATAAACACTAATGAGAAAGCCCAGAAGAGAGCCAGGCTACTGCACTCCAGCAGAGATAAAGATTAAGAGGACTGGGAGAGGGAAAAGACAATAATGGAGGAGAATGTGATGAGGGTGAGAAGTCAGTGAGGCCCTGACTAGGGAGCCATGCCTGAGAGAAAAACATGGTATACCCAGAAACTACCCAGCCTTTGCCAGACCAAAAGCTATATGTCACCATCAAGCACCAGAGAGGCTCAGGGGACTATCTCACTGTCCAAAGTCCATTCTGAGAGTAGCCAATGAACAGTTGCTTATGATTTGTGCTGAGAAATTACATCAGCTGTACTTTTCATCACCACCCAGGGAGAACTTACTATCCACTGCAGTCCACTCACCACTTGGTATAAGCTACAATTGAATCACCATTTGTGGGCAATCCATCCTTTCCCCCGACCCTTGAGTGGCTCAGAACACTTGAAAGTTCCCAACACGGTGCCCTGAAATCTTAGCATGGTGGTATTAATGTGGAAAGAGAGGTCACCAGTCCCTGGCTTCTATACATGTGTTGTACTACATAGATTGTTCTCACCTTTAGCAGCCCCTATGCCCAAACACTGCCATTATATACTGGTTTTCTTAGGATAAGGTTTAAACACACCATAAAACAACAGCCCAAGACTTACCTAGAAGAAAAGCATGACAACAACAGAAACAAAATCCGGCAATTTGAAAAATGCAGAAAAAGGCAAGTTAAGTTTCCATTCTACTTACTATTATACGAGTTCTTCATGCCAGCCACCCAGCCCTTTCCTCAACCTGAGCATGTGGGAAAATGGGCTTTCCAGGGTAGCTGGGCTTCAGACCAATTTCTTCCTTAATGACATATATTAAGAACAGTATAACAATAATACTTTGCTCTCTTCCAGAAACTAAATTATGTAAAACAGACTCTTTGCCTTATCAAAAGAAAACCAGGAAGGAGAATATGTAGAAGAGGCACGGCTATGAGGTATATGAAAGTCAAATCAACACAAGTATTTAGATATTCTGTGTATTGAATTTGGTAACATTGAATTTTCAAAATTAAATACCTAAAATTTACCAGGTCACAGAAAACGTTCCTAGTGCATTTTGCATTTCCCTAGATAGTCACAGGCAGGCATTTCACTCAACCTTCTAGCTCAACTCCCTAGCTTCTACACATGTGTTGCCCTATGTAGATTGCTTTCACCCAGTACTTTTAGCAGCCCCTATGCCCAAACACTACCATTATATACCAGTTTTCTTAGGGTAAGTTCTAAATACACCATAAAACAACAACCCAAGATTTACCTAAAAGAAAAGCATGACAACAACAATAGAAATAGAATCTGGCAATTTGAAAGATTCAGAAATTTTCCAGAAGGTCCTAAAATGTATTTGTATCGACCATTTCAAAACAATTCCAAGCTGCAACTCCCTTCTCCTATTTCTTTCCGTATCAAGAGGCAAAAGCATGGGAAGAAAACCTTCAATGATCAGTTAATTTATTACAGTCCTTGGAAGAGTGACTACAAACAGTTTGTATGCTCTAATCATGCCCATAGTCGCAAAGTGCCTTTGTCAGCTACAAGATATTACTCGATAAAAAACTGTTTTCTCTGTTTTTCAGCATTTTAACAAATATTTACTAAAAATCTTCTTTGGTGTGCTAGGAGTTGAAGATACAAAGATAAATGAGAAACGATCCTTGCCTTTAGGGAGTGCGTAATCTCTTTTATTTAGTGTGTTTATATGGTGGTTTATTCTTTTTTTTCTATTCAATTTATCTAGATAAATGGGGCGTGGATATTGAACTTTGTATTCACACTCTGTGTTGCTGTGTTTGGGGCGAATCCCATTCTCTCTTCCTCTCTTTAGCTCTCCATGTGAATGCCGGGAGTCTCTTTCTTTTTCTAATTCTCTCCCTCTGTTTACTTCAAACTTCCTCATAGTCCTTCCTTCTCTCTTCTTTAAAGAGTTAAGTGGAAGTATATTTTGTTAGAGTTGTTAGACTTTTATGTTCCCCGGTCATAAATCTTAATTTTTGCACTTTAGATTTTTCCATATTATTTATTTATGTAGCCCCCTTATGTATTTTTTTTTTTCATTTACATGTCAGTAGAACTTGACAGAAAAACAAGTTCTCAATCTCCTGAACTAACTATTCCCAGGTAAGAGATAAAAGACCCATACACATAAACTCATACATGATGGAAAGATGATTATATTCATCACTCTTTTTTACTCATTGATATCAAAAGTCTCATTATGATTTTCACTAGGATTTGGCTTTATTTCTTTTATGTTCATAGTATGTGGGCCAGGAAAATACAATTTAAGAGCAATAAGAAAGACAGCAACAGGAAATATCCCTAAAATAATCAGAAAATGGACAGAATAAGCAAGAAGAAAAATTCTGTGATACCTAGAATATCGCATGTCAACAAACCTGGTTCAATCGCCATTTTACTTTATTTCATACTCCCATATAACTAACTCCCCAGTATAAAATAAAAATCCAGTTTTACAAATACATTAATCACACTCTATTTTCTAAAGCACTACTATTCTAAAATGAGTCAGATTATTTATTTTATTCATGCTTGTTTTGGGGCTTTTTATTATTTAGCCTTAACCTTTGTCAAACTTAGCTCAAAGTACTGAGTCATGAATATTACCAATTGATTTCTCCTGAAACCTTTGTCGCCTTCCAATCTACTTCATGAAATTTATGAATCCACGGCTGTAGATTGCTGCAGCTCCCTGTCTCTAACCTGCACAACATGTCTCAGTTCTCTCTGTAGGGACCTATGATCCTTTGTTCTGACAGCTGCCTTCTCTCTATGTTATGTGATCGGAGAAAGTTTTGAAGATCTTTTGGTCACGTTTCTGCATTTGGAGCTTAAACTGAAAGTCAACTGCACCACTAGCACTGCTACCCAGAGCATCTCTGTAGCTCAAACATCCCCTGCCCTCTGCTAATCCCCACAATAGTTCTTACTGACTTCAGGCTCAACTCTCACAGTGGGCCATGAGTAATTTAGTTCAGTTGAAACTTAGGCATTATATACTCTGTGCTAAACAATCTGATGGGTGTCTGGAGACACAAAGTGGAAAGACAGGAACCTTGTTTTGATTAATTAACGCACAATTTCATAAGAGGGAAAAACATGAATAATTACAAGAAAGTTTTAATGCAATATTAGAAATCATGATTATATAGCCTTAACATAAAAGACTGAGACACTTATTAATGGGGCAGTAGTGGCAGGTGGGGATTTTTGACAGATTTCAAATCAGAGGAAGAGTATTTCACTAAAGGAAAAGAAGGAGATAAACAGCAGATCTTCTTCTGAGAGTCTGCATGTAGTGTATGGTATCCATCTAAGTAAAGAGAGGCTCGAAGAGGTTATGTAAAAAGCTGACGCTGGCAGCACTGGTATTAGAGGCAGAACTAGTGCACAGGTCTCTCTGACTCCAGAATTCATGCTCTCTACGTCACTGCCTCAGAACAGAAGTCATTTACTGTCTGTTATACACATATAACAACATGTGATGCTTTCTGCATTCCTTGTTTGGTACCTGACCTTCCCATAATATGTTCAATCTAATTTAAACTGGCTTCCTTCCCCGCATTGAAACTGCCCTTGTGAAGGTGACACAGCCTCATGCTGAGTAATCCACCTCTCTTATCTTATCCAACTTCTACATAGCTTTCAACTCCTTGAAACAATTTCTACCTTAATCCCTGTGAGTCCACAAACCCCCAGTTTTCCCCTGATCTCAGTGGCTGTTCTTTTTCAGTCTCCCTACTCCCTTCTCATCTCCTTCACTACCTCCCGTGCAGAAATACCTAGTCATGGCTGTGCATCTTTCTTCTCTCTACTTTTTTTCCCCAAAATTAGCTCATTGTGACATCGTGGCCTTCATGTCTCTAACCTTGAGTACCCAAATGGCAGAGGAGTGGCTAAAAGTGTAAACTCTGGATCCAGGCTTCCTGGATTCTAATCCCAGATCCACTGACCAATCCCAGATCCAACTTAAGTGCCTACCCTCTCTTGCCTCAGTTCTCTTACTTGAAAATGGAGAAGACAATGGTAGCTATCTTTATACACAGCTACCTTCCCTACAGATTCACTTATATATCAAATTTAATGTGTTCCCAACTGAATTCTGTATTCTCATCCCCTAATAAGCCTGTACCTCCCCATGTAAATAAATATCA